ATCGGAGATGTAACAGAAAGTTTCTCCCGTACCTTGATTAGGTTAAAGTTGGTGATTAGGATAAGATCTATTATCACAAGATCACACTGTTGCACCTGCAATAGTAATTTATGCACCAGCTTCCCCTTGAGGCATCATCTTCCAGAGATCAACCAAGTGGCATGGCAAGCTTAAACTCAGAAGATATGATCCTGATATAATCAGGAGATTGATAATGAGCAGCCAACTCCAGAGATGCCAGATGAACCACTGTTGAGGTGGGGAGAGGAGCTGTAGACAGACAAAGTGGGGCTGTCTCTTAACCAGCAGGTCCAGCTGCTATGGGATTCAAAGTCTTAGCTGCCACCATGTCTCAGTGCAAGGGCTTGCCATACGGAGAGGAGAGGAGACGCATTCTGTAAGATTCCTCACAAGGAAGGAGCCTTCCAAAAATCAGTAGTGGGAGCTGCTTATATTGAAGAAGCATATCAAGCTCAAGGCTCTCCATTAATAACTGTTCATTTACCCAGACTGTGTATGCCTTGATTGATTTGAAATCTGTCTGGACCCAGGCTGTCTGACAAAACCTTTATGACATTTGGTCCCTTGGACTTCACTTGACCCGTTTTGTGCCTGCTCTTTGGATTGGAACTCTTTTAAGGCAAACTTAAACTTTGGGAGACTTGTCTCTCTACTGTGTGTGTGAATGTCTCTTTGTGCTCATTATTTCCTCTGCTGTTTATTTACTTCACAAAACTTACCAATAAAGTATTCAGCCCCTTTTCTGTGTGCTTATGTGTGTTTAACCCGGGACAGGACACCACACTGAAAATAGAGCTGTCCACTAAATTGTTGAGAAAATCTCTAGGGGCTCCCCCTGAAACTCCAGATCCATCAGAGACCTCTTGGATTATTCTAAACAGTCATCCACTCTTGCAGAGGTTCAGGTGGGTTGAGCTGCAGTTTGAGTAGGATCTGGTATGACCACTGCAAAATACACAAGTTGGTCTTCCATATCCAGATCACATTTCATCTGCTCCATCTCTGTGTGTGGGAGCTGCAATGACATTTTGGACGACATGCCAGTCTTCACCAACAGCCAACACTATTCTCAAAAGTATGTCCTGTTCTTGGCCAGTTTTAGAGGCTGCGGAGAGCCAGGGGTGAGCAATTAATTTTCCCAAATGGTCACATGAGACACTGGGACTGTTGTGGACAGCTGCCACCACTGCCCACCCCTGCTGCTATACCATTGCCTCACTCCTGCGCTATTGCCCTACCCCTTCCACTGACACCTCCATGCTGATGCTGGTGATGCCATGCTCCCTGTCACAGTCTGGACTGGAACTGCTCACAGACCAGATGTCTGGTCTAACCCAGACTCTCTGGAAATTGCACAAGAACGGACATGCTTTTGTGTAGGATTTGGAGGCTGCAGAGACCACAGAAGAATGCTTCAAAAGCAAAGTCCTCATCTGGGTTGGAACAAACTCAAATATGCCGCAGGACCTGTCAACAGAAAGAAAAAACTGCCAGACAAATCCTGAAGAGCCCTGGGCAATCAACCATTCCGCAAAACTCGCATACCTTGGGGAATAGCTTGTGGTGGAGTTTTTGAGTGGCAGTCATGTCCAGCCTAAGAATTGCTACTGATTTTCACTGTTCAGGATGGCCTAGATTGGGAGGGGGGAGATAGATAATTCTCTTTGTGTGTGTGTGTGTGTGTGTGTGAGAGAGAGAGAGAGAGAGAGAGGGGGGGGGAGAGAGGGAGGGAGGGAGGGAGAGGGAGAGACATGCCAACAGATTCAAGTTAGGCATTTTCTGAATTTTTGACATGTCAAGCCCAAAAGGTTTGTCATACAGGGGCTCTCAATCAGTTACCTTAACAGTTCTACTGCTCACTGCAATACTTTCACAAGCTACCATAGCTATCCTGTTTCATGACTGAGGTTGTGCTACTATGTGACAAAAAAGTCAAAATGGTGACAGCAACTACATGACTGAAGTTTCACCTCTTTTTCCATGGATTATAAATAGGGAAAGATTTCCCTATTTTGACTTTTCTGATTCCTTTGATGAACACCCTGGTGATTCATGTCCTAGTATAGTGTATGAATGGAGTCAAATGTGACTTATTCAGTAAACAATAGATCTATAAAGATGAAAATTGTTATTTCCTTGTTCAATGTACGGGAATTCTTTGGTGAACAATATGCTTTCATTTCAAAGCTGAATTGACGTAAATCTTCTGAATTTTGAAATTTCCAGTTATTCATCTAAAATCTGACTGAAATATTTCAAGCACTGAAAAACATCAAAACAATCATGACACTTTTTCAAATCTAAGACTGAATTTGTATCAGTTCTAGGACATACAGTACAAATACAGTAGCCCAATATCAATTCTATTTTTAATCACCAGATGGCAGACCTCTGTAGAAAAGATAGCTGCACAGTGGCACAAATTTGCATTGTTTTTAATAAATAGCAATTCTTGTAGTTCCATTAGCAATGGAAGAAAAGAATAAAAAAATATGCAAAAGTACTGCAGTATTTGAAAACTGTGCAAAAGAGAGAATTGCAACTGTTGAAACAATGCAACATGTGGCCTTAAACAATAACAAAATTAGTTCTGAAAGAATAGATTACATCCAAGATATTTAGCAGTAGCACAAAAATGAGTAAAATCATATTTGAAAAAAGGAATGGCATACGGCCTCAACCCTAAAGCTGTGCCAGTAGAGAAACAAATATTATGCACAAACTGGAATTGTGTCATTGGTGACCCTGGAAATAATGCATCATCAAATCCATGTGAACAACATACTATTGTATTCCTTCCATCTCCCATATCAAGTGTATAAAACCAGAAATATTGAAATTCTATTTAATCAATGGGGTTTTCATGCATATTTTGAAATCCCAAGGTTTGAAAAATCTTCAGTGGAGCTATAGTTGGATGGATTTAGGAATTGGCCACAAATAGCCCACTTTCTTAGGAATTGGCCACAAATAGCTCACTTATGAACTATTTGTACTTTAATTAGCGATCTTTCGAGGCTTCAACAAGATTCAGGGAGAAAATATATTTGGTAAGTCTCCTGTTTGGCCATTAGCAGAATTATAATGAAAGGAGTGTGTCATCCTGGAAAAGCCCTTCTGTTGTGGATAAAATTTGGGAAACTCTTGTGGAGAGATACACAGAGAAGCAATTCTTAAAAGATGCCAGAAGTACAGAGAATAATTCTTCTTTCTAATAAACCCTTTCCTCCTTTATACTATGGCTGAATTCCCCCCCCCCCCGAAAATCCAGTTGAATACTAAACGCTGTTAACAGAAATTAAGGCTGGTTTAATTCTTTGTCTTGCTTTGTTCAATGCCATAGTCTTGCTCTTTTAAAAATTGTCATCAGTTTACACTAATCAGCAATTTTTCTTTCTTTCTTTCAGCAAAAATGAAGAAACCAGAGCAAATTTTATTTACCACAATCTCAAAAACAGCAGCAGAATAATGAAGAAAATAAGGATCTTTCAGAAATCCAAGGGTTTTTTTTAGAAAAAGGAAGCAACAATTTTCATGGAATAGCTACATTTGCTGTTTCTACTACAACCCAGTAAGACATCCATGGCACCATCAAAGTCAGACAACTTGGGCTGATGTAAAAAGCTGAGCAGGTTGAACCTGATTAGTGTTTAGATAAGGGATCATTAGGAAATATCAGAGCTGTGGACATTACTGGGAACTTGAAAACACATCCTGGAAGGAGGCAGTAGAAAACTACGCCTGAAAAGAAAACTACATGGACATTGCCGTAAAATTGCTGGTTGCTGAGCTTGACTCGAAGACTGTTCTCCGTGGACCATACAGACTCTTAACGTGGGGAAACATGCAAACATTTGTGCATGCACACACACACACGACTCTAAAAAGAAAGACAAACTAAAATGGCTTAAGCTGTGTATTTTTTTTTATTTTTGGCAATAAATAAAATATATATTCTGTCTATATGTGATTTATAGATAGAATTTTATCTCTTGATTTCTTTTTTCAGTGTCACGAGAATTTCAGTTTCCCTTTAAGGATTTTCCCCCTTGAAATAAACTGTATCTGCTAAGACTCAATAATACAAGAGGGAAAGATGGTAAATTTCTACCAGGCACCAGGCTCTTTAGTCTAACGTGGTCCTCCTGGCCATTTGTCTCTGAGTTATTATTACCCTTTCTCAATCAATCGGCTCCTTCAAAAACCTTGAAATTGCAAAAACCCACCATTGCAAAATCAGCACTGGCCTATACTGTCCCTCCTGACTGATGGGTTCGTACTTGAATATTAATCTTGATAACAAAACTGGAGCTAGATTGACAAGTCTATTAAAAAAAACCTGAAATAATTACAGCACCTTAATGACAATGTTCACAAAGCGGTTATAATGAAGATCCCAAACTGATACCCTGTTCTAATCAGATTTAGCCATAAAGTTAACCCAGAAAAATGGGGTTTCCTCAATAAGCCATGGTTAAGCCTACTATGTACAAAGTACATGTTTTACAAACAGAAGATTCCATGTTAGCACCTCCACTTAAAGGGATCTGAGGCAACAAGTTTGGAAAGACCATACAATGTCACCACTAATGACATCATCAGTGCAGAGGAGACCAATTCGACTTCATATTTGTTACAGTCATATCCTGCCTTTCATTCAGAAGCTCAAGGCAGCAACTCAGCTGAATTTGATCACTGTGTAGAGCAGGGGTGTCAAACTGCCAGCCTGCAAGCCGGTTGCATCATTTGGATGCCGCGCCCACCGACAATGCAAAAAAGTCACAATACGTCACGTGATGCGACGAGTTTGACACCCGTGGTGTAGAACAAGTTCACACCTGACAGTGCAAGGGAAGAAGCCAATAGGAAGCAAGAGAATAGCAAGCAAGATCCCTGGGATCACTACCCATCAAAAACTGGGAATACCAAAGAATGATCAATTTCACCTTTCACGTTAACAATGAATAATATCACTGAGAAGAATATCAAAACAGTTTTACTTGCCCCATACGTAATTCACTTTCAGTAAGCATACCTTTCATTTATGCATGGTAACACTGCAAAGAATATTGGTACATGGTCAGCAAGTTTTATTTTTATGAAACTGAATTCTCAGAATGTGTAATTTTGAAAACTATATTTGTACATAAAGTACCCTGCAGATTTATAGCTAATTAAAAAGTATCAATTACCTCTAACCTATTAGGATCTGACCACAATATTTGGTAATAGCCTCCTCTTAAATGACTTTATAAAGTAAAAAATAAAATGCACAGAGACCAATTTTATCACAACTTATCAGCTATGATATTAAATGGAACCTCCACATTCTGAGATAGTATATCTCTAATCACCAAATGCTGAGAACAGGGAAAGGTACTGTAATGCATTCATGTCCCATTTATGAAGTTTCTGGAAAATCTGGCTGGAAACAAAATGCTGAAACTTTGAATCTAATCCTACAAAACTGATATTTTATATCTTATTTACAATAATTTGGATAATTTCAACAATTACTGATCACAATCAACTGAAATAAGTATTTCTTAATTATATTTCACCAATTTTCTCAAATGAAGTTAGTATTCATTAAAACACTTATTTTTTTGCATACCATTTTTTTCCTTTTTCCCAGTGAACTATTTGTTCATAAATTTTAAACTAAAACATGTTCTTAAATATTTGATTAAAACAACAAAGCTGCACTGAAATGCATTCTTTTAGGCTAAAAACGTAATCTAAGAAACATAGTTTGATTTTGGAATATCATAAAAATATTTCAAATATATTTCAAATAGAAAAAAAAACAATGGCTCTTGGAAGAGAATTGATTTAAAATTTTGTAAAGGCCTTAGGTTTTGTCTTTTATTATTTAAATATCTGAATTTATTTTACACCTACCTAATCCTATTTCATCAATGTGACTGTAAATTTAATGGAAATATTTCTCCTTAACCCATTTAATATTTGCAAAAAGAGATTTAAAAGGCACTTTCGACAAAATATTTTTGTGCAAGAGGGTTTCTATATCTATTCATAAAAGTTAACTGGTGCTCTACATTGCTGGTTCCTATAACTTACAAAGAATATTGCATCTAATTCATGTATATTTTAAAAATCAGAAATAATTTCTATAGGGACACAAATGTGCATACATGGATACCCTGACTAATTATAGTTTCTCATTGCCAATTATGCTCTGTGTGCTTTTTTTTTTTTTAAAGAATGCAAAAGCGATTTTGCTTTAGGACAAATTTAAAATTTGATATGGCTCTGAAAATATTGGCAGATTAATATACTTTCAAGTGGGCTAAAAGGATTCTTGCACGTTTTTCTATGTAACAGTTTTCACCATTTTGTGTGTTTGACTTTTTCACAATTCATTTTACCGCTCTATTCCACGCACATTTTTTCTATGGGATGGGGGTACCAAGTGGATGGGCAAGACATTAGGAAGTTCATATCCCTCCAATTTTATCTTGATGAGATGCTTTGCTAATGCAAATTCCTCTTCGTCCAACATGCCATCGTTATCACAGTCAGCAAGTTTCCAGATTTTTCCCAAGACACTGTTTGGCAGTTTGGAGGTCAGCATATCTTTCTTTGCATTGGCCCCCGAGATTCTACCATTGACTGGTGAGAGAGTGTAAAAGATTTCATCGTATGTGGGTTTATCTTTGGCAACAACCCATTCCTCCTCATCAGCTCCTTCCTTGGCACCTTCCCCATAGCCATGGTCAAATGGTCCTGCTGTGGTGCCATCAAATGCCCCACCTTGCACCTTTTGTACTGGCATGTTACGTTCTTCCTGTGTAACCAGAGTCATTAAATAAGCCACTTTACTGGCCAGCATGTTATCGACGGCTTCTATCAGTTTTGGTCTCAGTGAATGGAATTTAGTGAAGTCATAGTTCTCCAATTGTTCCTATGAAATGACAAAAACACATAACAATGACAAGTCAAAGTCTTTTCAATAACTCCTTGAAGAAATTCTTGATGCTTACCAAGTTTAAAAAGGAGGAGTACAGAATGTTGCAAACAGCATTAAAGAGTAAACAATATGTTTGAGGAAACAATATTTATCCAGTCTGGATAAACAGGACACAGGATGAAAATTTAAGTTCATTGCATCATAGAATATTGTTAAGTATGAGTAGAAAAACAACATATCTCTAGGTACAGAATTTCCATCAGCAGCAATCAACATAATCAATTGAACTTCAACTCAACAATTCCTATACAATTATTTGGAAACCAATTATACTTTCAATATTAGTAACTTCCCACCCCACTAATTCACAAGTAAGAACCTGCACTTAAAAAGTATGGAATGCATATAGTGTATACTTCCATCTTTTCCTCCTTCCCAAGAGGGGCATTACACTTCCAACTGAAGTTTCCCAGTCTGCTTTTTATGACTGACTAAAAAGACATTATCACTTATTTATCATAGGCCTTAGCAAGGCCTATAAACCCTGAAACTGAAGCTATTTATCAGTGCATCCAACAAATCTAAGACTTTAACTCTCTCTTAAATTTAGAGCCGAAAATTTTAAACAGGCAATGAGATACATTAAAAAATTAATATTAATTTAAAATTAGGTATGTTGGCCATCCTGAAATTAAAAGGCAGGATATAATCATCATCATCACCATCTTCCTATGTTTGATTAATAATAATAATAATAATAATAGGTATGTATCACTATAACATTTTTAATAAGTGGCTTATGCTTATGCTTCTCTCTCTCATAAGAGCTCATTTGCTTTAGTGTTTCTACCTCCCCTAATCTACAAAACAATATAACAGCCAATATTCTTCTAAAAGGGGCATAGGTAGCTGAGGTAGTAAGGGCAGCACTGAATGCTGACAAGATCATGAAGGTTTTTCAGTGTAAATATCCCAACCAGAAACTCAACCTAACCAGATAAGATTGTTGAAAGGAAATTGCAAAACTAGGTGGGAATAGTTCTGCGAGAGGACAACACTTTTTTATAAAGAGCAGCAGCATCACCATCACCTTCCCAAGTCCATAGAAAAAACTCGATATGTGGATAGAAATCTAAAGTCTAAACATCTGGCACACTGTGTGACCAAGCTTACTTATTTGTTTATGGCCTTGCATGTGGAGCTTAAAGGATCACACAGCCGTGGAGCTGGTTGGTGTCCCAAGAGCCCCCCCTTTCCCTTTTCAATTGATTTTTAACTGGGGCTTAATTATTTTTGCCACCCTCTAAAAACATTTCAGTTTTGAAATTTTAATTCTAAGGTTTTAATTTTGACATACTGTTTTATATTCTGACATTTTACTGTACACTGCCCAGGGTCCTTCTTTGAGGGAGATGGGCAGTTCAGATTTGTGAAAAATGAATAAATATTCTTTTCAATCATAATATATATCCCAAACCAATTGTGGGAAATAAAACTCAGACTAGATGGGAAACCAAATTGTGGGAAATAAACCAATTGTGGGAAATAAAACTCAGACTAGATGGAGAGATGGAATTATGATCATGTATGCAACTTTGAACAGATAAACTGTTGTTTGGTAGCCTATTTACCTGTAATGGTTTGATCTACTGAAATACAATACCTGCATTTTCTTGACTTCGGGGAAATCTCCTGATGAAATCTGATACTCCTGCTGTAGCTGACGATAAATTTCAGGTAATTTGTCGATCAATTCCCTCTTTTTATTTTCTTTTCCAAATACTGAAGGCATTTCTTTTTTCAAATAGCTGATTATATAAGCATGCACCTAAAAAGAGTAATTAGATTTAAAAAAATTGTTTATGTATTCATTTATTTTCATTTATCAATAAATAAAAATACTTTTATTTACATGCATATATGTATATTTCATGTAAATAAATTAAGCACACACAAATCCACCAAGGAACTTGTAAAGCTGAATCGTGGGCATTTAATGAAAATCTCATATTCCAAAATAGTACCAACACAGCTCTACAAAGAATTAGCAACTTCAAAATAAACAACACTGGAACCAGAATCTTACATCAAACTGAGGATTTTTCTAAGTCAGGAAATTAGAATTATACATAAAATACAATGGATACGAAACTGCAACAAAATCAAGTAAAAATAATATTTGTATTTCTGGAAAAGTTCCACTAGAGAATAAGAACTTAAGTATTTCCAGCAAACATTTATGTCTGACTATGTATGGAAGAATGGGTCACAAAAAAAGTAAACTTAAGCATTGTCCAACTTTTGAGAAGAGAAAGGAAAAAAAAAGAAAGCTGGCAGGAATAGCCAACACTCCAGAAGACAGGCTTAAGATACAGAAGGATCTGGACAGACTTGAACACTGGGCACTATCTAACAAAATGAAATTCAATGGTGAAAAAAGCAAGGTTCTACATTTAGGCAAGAAAAGCCAAATGCACAGGTATAGTATAGGGGGTACCTTGCTCAACAGTAGTAACTGTGAGAGGGACCTCGGAGTCCTAGTGGACAATCATTTAAATATGAGCCAGCAGTGTGCTGCAGCTGCCAAAAAAGCCAACACAGTGCTAGGCTGCATTAACAGAGGCATAGAATCAAGATCACGTGAAGTGTTAATACCACTTTACAATGCCTTGGTAAGGCCACACTTGGAATACTGCATCCAGTTTTGGTCACCACGATGTAAAAAAGATGTTGAGACTCTAGAAAGAGTACAGAGAAGAGCAACAAAGATGATCAGGGGACTGGAGGCTAAAACATATAAAGAACGGCTGCTGGAATTGGGTATGTCTAGTTTAATGAAGAGAAGGACGAGGGGGGACATGATAGCAGTGTTCCAATATCTCAGGGGCTGCCACAAAGAAGAGGGAGTCAAGCTATTCTCCAAAGCGCCTGAAGGCAGGACAAGAAGCAACAGGTGGAAACTAAGTAAGGAGAGAAGCAATCTAGAACTAAGGAGAAACTTCCTGATAGTTAGAACAATTAACCAGTGGAACCACTTGCCTCCAGAAGTGGTGAATGCTCCAACACTGGAAGTTTTTAAGAAGAGACTGGACAGCCATTTGTCCGAAATAGTATAAGGTTTCCTGCCTGAGCAGGGGGTTGAACTAGATGACCTCCAAGGTCCCTTCCAACTTTACTACTACTACTACTACTACTACTACTACTACTACTACTATTATTATTATTATTATTAAGGCTTGATCAGAAATGGGAGCACCTTCTAAGAAAAGGAAAAAATGCATGCTTTAGTTCAGATTGTTGTGTTGAAAAACATAAAAAACTTATTAACTTCCACCATAAAAGGTGTGCTCAACCAAGTAAGCACACCTTTACTTCACCCTAGATGGCAGGAATCCTTTCCCTTCAAATCCTGGAAGTTGGAACTGTAGGAGAAAAGCTGTATTATTCTATTGTAGCCCAAAATCAGGAAGAATCTGGTTGAAGTTTTTTCCCCCTGCCTTTTATTAAAAGGCAGAGGCTCCCAGGAACTGTAGCTCACTTCTTTGGTTCACTTCATTAGTCTGTGCATCTGAACTACAGTTCCAGAAATTAAATGATTTTTAATAAAATGGGTGAATCTGAAAAGGCACCACCTGACTCCTCCTGAGGGAGGACAGATCTTTAATCCCTTCAGCAGGAAATTATGTATAAATTGTTAAGGTCTCAGGAATAAGTGTTTTTCCTTCTTCCTCTAGATTCATAATCTTTTTTGATTATTGACAGGTAGGATCTATCATTATTCTAAACACTATTTACTGTGATAATCACATTTGGGAAGCTCAGCAGGATGTGACAGACTTTAACTTTGGAATTAAAGTTAGCCATATATGTGCTTGTATACACATATATGCATACAGTATAACCTATTCTCTCTTTTAGTTAATATCCTGTATATTACTTGTATATAGTACTTGTATGATTCCATGTTTAGACAATGTTTGCAATTTTACAAATGTTACCAGACAAGGGTAGAAATATTAGAACTATTAAAAGAAGGAAACAAAGCTGAGGAACATCCATCTGAAAAGTATACTGCCAGGTTTCAGTAAAGTTTATCTTGTGCCTTTGACAAATGGGAATGGACTTTCCACAACATGCTATTTTAAAAGCTTCTTACCCCATTGTGGATGATACCCATGGATTGATACCTGCTGTGCTTGGATGTAGATTAACCTCCCATATTGATACTGAACAGCAACTGCTATCTATATATGCAACATGTATGCATATACACACAGAACAATGCTACCACTCAAAGAAAATAAATGAAATCATGTTCTGATTTTGAAACAAACAAGATGAAAGAGCTTCCACCTACTCTTAATGGCCAGGAAAATTACAGGAAAATGCCTGTACCAGTCAGTACAAATTTAGGGGATCTCAATAATTATGTAAATAGGAGTTGTGCAAGCACAATGTTTGTTCAAAAACCTTTACAAAAGTTATTTGTTTATTTAAAACATTTATGTAGCCATCCATCTTCTAACCAACTCTGGGCAGCTCCCAATCAAATATATAATTATATATAATTACATAATTCCCCCTTGTGAATCCAGAATATTTCAGTTACGAGAAAAAGAATGAAACAGTGTCTGGAATAAAAACAGAAGAGTGTATCATAATTAGCAATGGTCACAGATTCTGTATTTAGAATTACAATGGAAAAAAGCTGAGACCACTGAACTGAAACTACAACATTCTTTGAATACCATTATGAAGCATAATTAAAATTCCTCTCTATGAAAGGTAAATTTTGTAATATATTCACCATAGTTTGTAAAGCCATTGGAATTTTGTTTTGGTTTTTTTTTACTTCAAAAGGTATTGAAATTTCAGTTCAGTGGCTACAAATTCCCTTTCTGCCTGTCTTGCTTGTACCACATGACATCCAATATCATTAAGAAGTTTAAACCTGATACCGACAGAAAAAAACACAACCCTGGATGTAAGAAGAAAAAAAAAAGGGACCAAGACAAAGAAAAAAAATTAAAAGTGAATTAGGATGCCTATATTTGTATATACAAGTTTCTACATACAAGTTTACAATAATTTATACTATTTTTACATAAATTAATGAATTTAAAATATTAAAATACATTTATATTTTTATATATATCTAATTGATGCAGCAGGTTCATACAAGTTGATTTCTTTCAAATGATTACTGCCTCAGGTCCTGCAGTAATAAATGCTCCTAAACGAATCACAGAAAACAAAAATAAATAAAATAATTTCTTTGTATCCCATTCCTTATTCAGGTTAGCATTTCCCTGGCTGCGTGCAGAAAACTTCCAGCATTTTTTATGTGTGGCAGCTCAAAGGTTATTGAGCCAGCTTTCCCCACAAAAGACCTAAACCTCAGAAGCCAAGATGCAGGACCAGAGGATCCTGCCACAAGTTTTTCACAAAACTGGATTAGAAGCCAAGATGATGCATATCAGGCTTTGCCCAATTTTACTGGTTGGTTTAAAGCAGGGGTAGTCAACCTTGGCTCTTTTATGACTCGTGGACTTCAACTCCCAGAATTCCTGAGCCAGCATGGCTGGCTCAGGAATTCTGGGAGTTGAAGTCCACGAGTCATAAAAGAGCCAAGGTTGACTACCCCTGGTTTAAAGAGAGAAACCGATCCAAAGTTATCCAAGGTCAATAAATGAGGGGACTGTTGAACCTGAACCTTCTGAATCCTGCACAATTTAAGATGGGGGGAGGGGGAAGAAGAGCAAAAAAAAATAAAACACTTTAAATGCTGGCGGCTTGGTTATATTGAAATAGAAAGATTCCATAGCAGTCTAAACAATTTGATTTTTTTTCCTTAATAAAACAGATAAAAGGGCTTTCAGGTAAGGATCTATGGTGGACTAGATGTCCTTGAAAGAATGGAAACGGCAATGTGGTGGACCCTGATTACTCTGATAGTGCATTCTGTCTGGCGCAGTCTTTCCGGACAAAAAGAAATCATGAGATTGCCCATTTGCAGAAGGGAGGAAACTTTACTCTTTCCCTTGCAATTGAGACACTTTCACTTTTGGATTTGTGGGAAGTTAGCCCAGAGAAGGAAATATTAAAAAGGCAGAAAGAAAGATATTGTTCACCAAAAGGATTTTTAAAAGCATTTTTTGAAAAGCAGAAACCAAACCTGCCCTCATCTCTTTGCCCAAAGCAGTAGCTAGTCTTATACAAATGCAGATGTGGAACCATCAGGAAGTTTGGAGCCAGGGATCTCAAGACAAAAGAAGCTCTTAAGAGTCATTAGCCCCATCACCTGGGAAGCAGGATATGATAATGGGATTAAACCACATATATCAAGGCCTAGAAAAACACTCAGAAATATCCTCAAAGTTCATGCCACAGGAACAGGAAACTATTCCAAGCAGGGTTGGAGGGGGTATAAAAGCCCTTCTACCCATGTGCTCTTTCTCTTTTTCTTCTCCTCTGCTCCTTCTTGCAAGGACCATCTTCTTCTGCAATAAACTGTAACCTTCTTCCCAAAGCAGTCGCCATGTTTGCTTATTTATTCCCGGCTTGGATGAACCAGGATGAAGACTTACTTCTAACAGATTACAATATTACAATGACAGCCACTAGAACAGTGGCAAAAACAGCAGAAGGGAGGAAAAGACCACTAGAGCAACCTGCAGAGAGTTTGTTTCTTGTTTGGCATTTTCTGGCCACAGAGGAATAATCCTTTAATTATTTGGTGTAATAAGAAATTCCTTAAAAGTTTTTTTTTTAAAAAATGCAGAGACCATTAAAGCCATAATTTTCTAATGGTAGAACAAAAAGGAAAACAGGAAAGGAAAGGATGTAATTAAAGCTTTGATATGTGAGGAGAAAAATATTTTGAAGAAAGAAAATAATAACACTTCGCAAAATTTCTACCATGGAAGACAATGGAGTCCCTTTGCACTGACCATCAGCACTCTAGTTTACTAGGTGTCTATTTTTCCCCACCCAGAAAGTTAAACAATAATCATCATAATGACATTTCTGCGACTTTATATAGATGGCCACTGCAGATGAAAATGGCAAGTCAACAAATCAATCACATCAGTCAGTATCTATATATTTCACTCCACCTTACCTTTGCAAGCCGTGACCTCTTGATCAGATCATTCAGTTTTCTCACTGTTGCTTTTTGTGGAAGATTCTGAATGTCTTGGAAAAGATCTTGTGCCTCTACCTCAAACAATTTTCGATTCTCTGTGTTTTGCAGGGGCTGGGCCCAAAAAGAACCAATGTAAACTCGCAATACCTCTGGAGTATTAATTACTTTGCCTAAGGACCACATGAGTGCACCATATACTCTCATTAACTGCTGGGTGTCCACTTGGTCAGCCTTATTCAACACCACCCGTATCTTGTCATCCTGACCCCGGAAGGCCTTGATTGCTTCTGAGAATTCATCAGAAATATCAAGTTTATGGGCATCAAATAAAAGGATGATACGATCAACCCGCTCAGCAAACCACTGCAGGACATGACAGAAGTCGTAACCTACACAAAAAAGACAATAAATAGGAAAAGGTGATGAAATATGATTTTGCTCACAGTTTTTCAACATAACTCTTGTGAGATAAAGCAAGACATAATTTCATAGTGCTTGAAAGATTAGCAGGTTTCAGACGTTACAGTGGCAGCCAGTTCAGCTTCACTCTGCACAGCAAATAATTTTCATGAAGAGCTACTCACAAAAATAGTTCATATGTATTTGAACATGAACCTAAAGCAAGTATGTCATAATAAAAATGTAGAATTACACAGATTGTCAAAAATACAGGGAATACTCACATATACAGTGGATACCAAAAGCATATATCTTACTCCAAAGAATTAACTCCATAGTTACAGACAGGATTTTCCTAGCTAAGTTAGATGATTTTCCTCTATAAATGACAGCGCTAGCTTCAAACCTCATTAAACTTGGCAACACATAACAGCCCAGCATGGCAAAAATCTATTGCAGTGGAGATTTTGTTATTCATACATTCTTCCATGCCAGTACTTTTGGGATTAAACATTGCTAAATTTGCAGAGGTTGGTGCTATCACTAAAAGGGGAAAAAGAAAACAAAAAAGGAACACATTGTAAAACTGAGAAAGGCAAGAGTAAGAAAGGGGAAGAGATAGATTGAGGGAGAAAAGCTAAAATGCCTTGGATGGGAGAAAAGATAGATCCTTTTGAGGTGTGGTATTTTTGGCAGCTATATTACAGGCAGTCCCTGGTTAAGAACATCTGACTTACAGACAACTCACACTTATGAATGGACTGCTATAAAGCCTACGCTATTAGGAATCTGAGTTAAATACAATGGCTCCTAATAACAAATGCATGCACTATTTTGTGACACCCATGAGAACATTGTGCAGCTTCAGCAGTTCATTATGCAGCTTCATTCTTTGAAGAAGAAAAGCTCTGTACAAACCTCCCTTGGTGTCTACTTCAAGGTAAAGGTAAAATATACACTATATACTAAAATAAATATTTGACTAATGGACATTAAGTAAGAATCATATGTACCTGTTCTGACTTACCTACAAATTCAATTTAAAGAAAGACTTAGGAATTGATCTTATTCATAACCTGGGGGGCTTTATGTACACTAATTTCTGAAATTCTTAAGTACTGAACCTAAATCTTCAGCACACAACACATATGATTCATTGTTGTTATTTTCAGTTAGCAGCATTACAAAAAAGAAAACAAAACACCAAAAAACAGCATGTGATAGAAGCATGTGTTCAGGGAGATATCAGTTAAATATTAATTAATAATTTTGCAGGAATACACTTCAGAATCAATCATGCAAAAACCCTTCAAAAATCTGAAATCTCTGTAGAGAAGTAGAGATATCAGATATGGTTTAATGGATACTCACTGTTATTAATACGGTTTAATATTTCAAATATAATGATATACCTTATTATTAGACACCTTAAACACTATTTTACAAGAAATATAGAGAATATTACAGTAATGTCATAAATAAAAAAAAATCAAATAAAGCAATCAACCTTACTTGATTATTGTCACTTCAGAATCAGTGTAATGTGTCCTAAGTAGGTGAATATTATAAAGCCATATCAAAACTAAATTACAAAACTTACAAATTATTATTGGTTTGATATTCTCAAAGTTGTATACAATAATTACCAGTTCCTTCAGTTCTGCCCTATTTATAGTTTTATTAATAAGTCAATACCATCAATAACCAGTTTTCTCTAATTTGTGCCTTCCATGTATTGGAATTATTACTTTCTCAATCTTTGGTCAGTGTGCTGAGAACTGTAGACCTGATATATGTGGAAGGCTTCAGTTTTGAGTTAAATACGATAATAGCTTAATATAGTATTAATAACGCAATTCTGACAATTTTTAAAGACTTGATTTAATAAATGTAATAGTAGAGACTCAATATAATAAAATTATGTATACTGCATTTTACCCAGTAGTCTTAAACATTAGAAATGCTTCACGTATATTATTTGGTTCTAACTTTTACAGTAACCCTGTGCAGTCAGTTGAAGTTTTCCCCTTATATATTTTGTAGGTTCTATTCAATTACTTTTTAATACGATGAATATTATAATCAAAGGAAAATGTTGCAATCTTTCAGTTCAGAGACAGTAATAAAAGAGAGCATAAAACACAGATTTAATAATATGTCTAGAAGATTGTGGCTTAGAACACTGTAGAAGCATCTAGAAACATGGCTGGACAAACTGGGCTTGGTATGTTCAATGACTATTCTATTGTTTGAATTATTTTATTTAAAAAAAAATACTTCCAAATCTATTTTTTATTCTGTCTGTGATAAGTGCCTGCTGCCAAAGAAAGAGGGCATATATTTTCATATAAAAAAGAGGAAACTCACCTCTACTGATGCGTTGTTTCTCTCCTGAAAGAATGCCAGGGCTATCTATGATGCTGATACTCTTCAGAACCTGATTGGGTAATTGAGCACACATGAACCTATATAGAAAAGGGAAAACCTTGGTTACTGAAGACTTGGGAAAAGCCTTTCTCTGTATTTAAACTACCAGTGATAGATGCCCTCACCCAAAGCAAGAAAGGTGGTGGTTCATTTTGTCCAATTTCTGTATATAAAATGATTCCAACTTTAAGACTTCTGCACATTTGGAGAGCATGAACACTTCTCTCCATAAGAGAAAGAATTCGACTTAGACCAGGATCTTGTTTTTTCATGAAGAAACTGTATGTGAATATGGTGATTCACATGTTGGGTACTTGTCACATGTATATGTCCACCCATGGTCAACAGGCATGATCATAACTTCCATTCCAACATATGTGGTACCTATTCAATGACCCATCTTCCTATCATAAAACAAGAAACACTGCATTATTTTATTCCTGTCTACTGCCATCTTTCTTCAGGGATTCCCTCCATACAAGGGGAGTGGATTAATAGCTGGGAAGAGGGAAGGATCCAGGTATCTATGAGATACATTTCCCCAAAGGAGCTCAAAATTGTTTTAAACTCCCATCAAATCCAATTGTAGATGCCCCTAACCAAGAGGATAGCAATTATACAGAAAAACACATGAAAACTAGTTAAAAGAAAAGAGTATTTGTTTGTTTAGCCATAGTATTTATATACGTATATACCACTTTACAGTGCTTTACAGCCCTATCTAAGCAGTTTACAGAGTCAGCATATTGCCCCCAACAATCTGGGTCCTCATTTTACCAACCTCGGAAGGATGGAAGGCTGAGTCAACCTTGAGCCAGTGAGAATCGAAGTGCCGAACTGCAGGCAGCTGGTAGTCAGCAGAAGTAGCCTGCAGTACTGCATTCTAACCACTGCGCCACCATGGCTTTTTAAAATTTATTTATTTATTTACCTATCTACCTACTCACCTACCTACTTACTTACTGACTCAATTTTATTGACTGCCCATCTTACCATAGGGTAACTGGGTGGCTTACTGCTATTAGCCTGAGATGGATAAATATAGACAGATGGTATAAAGAATCTCTGAAATGTTATTTTTTCACATTTAGAATTAGACTTTTCTAAGGATTTGCATTGGATTATAACTTCAATATTATAGAGTTATTAGCTAGTTTATCTAGGAATGATAGATATGCTGTTTAATACAACTGGGAAACATAAGGGACTGTTCCCATTCTTTAAAGAAAAGAAATGTAATTGAAAAATTGCAGGATACATGTGACTATAGATAAATTTTAAGCCAAATACTATGCAAGATTTATTGATACGCTGGTGTAAACCTAAGTGACCCAATTAATAAAAACATTAAAATGAATAGTGATAGCCATATTATTTCTTCCTTCCTAATTATTTTATTTATTTAACAATACTGTTAAGTATTGTTAAATACTTAATCCATAACAATATTGTAAATTATGCCAATCCATAACAATATTGTAAACTACCTCATGTAATCTAGGTGATGTACAATATATTAAAATACAGTAAAAAGCAAGATAGAATATACTATATTTTGGACATGCAGCTTTTTTCCATTTGGAATGATTCTTAATATTTTAAGAATATTTTTTGCAGTCTTTTTACTAGGCTACCAAAAAACAAGCTTTACAAAATCAAGTAAGGGACAATGCAAATACATTTTATTTTAAAAATCATTCATTCTGTCCTCTTCATGCATTTATTGGGTGGCTTATAAAAGACAAGTTTATGAGAAGACTGTGTTCTTTATATCAGCTAAACAATCACACTGTGTTTTACATTTTCTGAATGCCAGGAATGTAGTAGTGGCAGGTTTTACATGAAAAACAAGAACTGCAGTTATATATGGAGACAGCACTGTAATAACATTCAAGCTGTTGTGGACAATTATGGGCAATAAAAAAAGAGATAAAAGATTTTTCAGTAGTGTATAAATAAGCTCTTTGGATTCTAAACTACAATTATTTGTAGCAGTTTGCTTTTTTAAGAAAGCTGCAGAAACAGAGTTCATTGCAAACTCACAAAACTGACCTGGCTTTGCTATCTGGCCTGGGGGAATCAGAAAATGGTGGTGACCCCATAAAATGGCCGTAGTGTTCTTGAATGGCTGAGCTCTCCCAGTGATTGTTCTGTGTGGCTTTTAATTGTTTTTAACATATGAATTATAATATCTGTGTGGCTGTTTAATATTTTTATTTTTTAGTATTGTTTATGTTTTAATTATAAACCGCAGCTGCCCAGAGACATGAATGCAAGTTGGGTAGCTATACGTTGAATAAATAAATAAAAACAACAACTGAAAAGGGACTTTTTACAGAACCAAATATATTTTTGTCCCTTCTTCTCTTCTTCCATTTTACTCAAGCCATAGAGGTAGAACAGGGATTTAGGCAGAAGTTCAAGGCAAGAAATACTGCTAAAAGGTGATCGTGAACACCAGAATACTGATGAAGTAAGGCAAGGAAGAACTTACCAGTTTCTTTTTATTCTTTTTAAGAGAGCAAAACTGGAGCTTGTTGACTCTGGAAAGATTTGAAGAGTGGCTCTACTTTAGGAATGAGTTGAAGAGTGGCTCTACTTTAGGAATGAGAATTATATGAAAAACAACCTTATAAGTCTGTAGCACACACAGTGCATTTTATTCCATTCCTTAAGTAGCTGGGTTTTTTTTATATAAAAAAGTAAAGCTAAAGAGTATTTTGGGGTGAACAGAATAAGTGTTGGAACCATTTTACTCTTTGTATATTTGATTGATAATCAAGACTCTTATTACTTCAATGTGGTATATATAGAAATCCTTCCACCATTTCCCCCCATAATAATAAATCTGAGCTAAGAAACAGTAGTTTGCTGAAGTTATCAAAGTATTTTCATGAGTGAGAATGTAGACTTGAACCTGGATTTCCCCAATAGCTTTTTGTCCCTCTAAAAAGGCTAGAAAATTCTTTCAAAATGTGCAGATTATATCCTACAACCCAGAAAACACTACTAAGTATAAGTCTGTCTAACTTCTTGCTTTTTTATACTTCAGTTCTGCTTACGTGAATCTTGAAGATGGTAAAAAATGGCATAAATTTCCATTATTTGAAGTTAGCATTAATTTTATTAGCTTTGCTTAAAATGTTATTAGCCTACATTTGTCACACAATTCTACAGATGTCCTTATATGAGCCTATAAAACAAAGGAATTTATGACTCTTTTGGAAATGTACCTATATATGTCATGCTGATTGGAAGACAAAGACTAGAAATGGCCCACAGAAGTTTGGTATTCAGCAACACAAAATGTTATTAAACATATGCATAAATTAGTCCACAGCCTTTCCTTACCTATTCAAGAATGCATTTCCAAAACGGCTGAGTTTGCGGAATGGCTTTTTGGGATCCACCACAAGAGCGTTTCCTGGAGTACTCCCTTCAGTATCTCCATACATGACGGCAATAAAAGAATCTGTAGTTGGTTCAGGGCCAATTCGCATGCCTGGAAAATCTTGCTCTAAGAGGTACCTAATCACAATGCAAAATATAATAAAACAATATTAAAAACAAATTGAGAACATAGCATTATTCTTCTAAGGAAAAGCCAGGATATACTGTAAATAAATGAAAACACTCTAAATGTAGATTTCAACAATTATGCCATTAAGACATATATTTTTATATTTTGTAGTTTGCAAACATATCAGTACTGCAAAATCTATGAATAAATTAAGTCTGCATTTAGTAGGGAACAGAAATAAACATGGATTCTGCAACCATTCAAAAGAGATTTGGCTAATTGGTTAATATAAAGGAAATAATGGACATATGCTTTTTAATAATAAATTTCACAGGAATAAAAAACAGCCATTAATATTTATGCCAGTTGTTTTAAGTTGAAATAAATACAGCAGAAATTTTAAAGTCAAGTTTAAAGACTTTGTATTTGACTTTTTTCATTTTTATCTGCATCACCAAATTCATCAACAGTATCTTCCCTTTCCTGTTCATCTAAATAATAAGCCAATTTTTGATGTCTTACATCCTTTCCCACTTTTTATTTGAAATAAATAGACGGGAGGAAATGTTTTCAATCATACCATTCAATTTGTTTCTGAATATTGCAGACCAGGGAACAAATAACTTTTACCTTTACTAATGCATGAAATACATACTACTATATAGGTAGCAAACCTATGAATTAGGTTTCCTACCTACCATATTTTCCGGCGTATAAGATGACTGGGTGTATAAGACGACCCCCAACAAAAGGTCAATTTTATATCTCAAACCCGATATAGTCCCCATCCGTTGGGTTTTGTGAGTTTCTCGGTGAACCTGTGCAAAGGGTGGCTTTTGTTTTGTGACCCTCGGCGTTTTGGGAAAACTATAGATTTTACTTCTATTCTGACGTATATAGGAAAAAATGGAAATACTATACACACACTGTGTGTGTGTGTGTGTGTATGTTTGTGTGTGTATATATAAAATAAAGGTAAAAAAGGATATATGCAGTGTTATCTTCATTTTAGATGTCAAAAGGGTCTCTCTCTCTCTCTTTCCTCTGTCTCTTTCCTTTCTTTCCTCTCTCCTTCTTTCTCTTTCCTCTTTCTCTCTTTCCTCTAACTTTCTCTCTCTCTTTCCTCTCTCTGTCTCTCTCTTTCCTCTTTCTCTTTCCTCTCTTTCTCTTTCCTCTTTCTCTTTCCTCTCTTTCCTCTCTTTCTCTCTCTTTCCTCTCCTTCTCTCCCTTTCCTCTTTTTCTCTTTCCTCTCTCTTTCCTCTTTCCTCTCTCTTCTTTCTCTCTTTCTCTTTCCTCTTTCTCTCTTTCCTCTCTCTTCTCTTTCTCTTTCCTCTAACTTTCTCTCTCTCTTTCCTCTCTCTTTCTGTCTCTCTCTTTCCTCTTTCCTCTTTCCTCTCTTTCTCTTTCCTCTCTTTCTCTCTCTTTCCTCTCCTTCTCTCCCTTTCCTCTTTTTCTCTTTCCTCTCTCTTTCCTCTTTCCTCTCTCTTCTTTCTCTCTTTCTCTTTCCTCTTTCTCTCTTTCCTCTCTCTTCTCTTTCTCTTTCCTCTAACTTTCTCTCTCTCTTTCTTTCTCTTCCTTTCTCTTTCCTCTAACTTTCTCTCTTTCCTCTCTTTCTTTCTCTTCTCTTTCCTCTCTTTCCTCTTTCTCTTTCCCTCTTTCCTCTCTCTTTCTCTTCTCTTTCTTTCCTTTCTCTTTCCTCTCTCTCTTTCCTCTCTCTCTCTTTCTCTTTCCTCTTTCTCTCTCTCTCTTCTCTTTCTCTTCTCTTTCTCTCTCTCCCTCTCCCTCCAGGTTAGGAGAGAGAGAGAGAGAATGAAAGGCAGACGGCGCCGAACGGGGAGGGGGAGCAGGACGGGAGGCAGCAACTCCAGTGGCGGCGGTGGCAGCACAGCAGCGGCCACTGCAGCATCGTCGGGAGTCCACGCCACCTCCAGCCTGGCCGCCGCATCCTCAGCTGAATGGGCGGGGAGGGGGAGCAGGACGGGAGGCAGTGGCTCCCGGCTGCTGCCCCCACCACGTCCTCAGCTTATATAAAGGAATAAAATAGAATACCCGTATTTTCCGGCGTATAAGACGACTGGGCGTATAAGACGACCCCCGACTTTTGAGAAGATTTTCAGGGTTTAGAAAGTCGTCTTATACGCCGGAAAATACGGTATATAGCTGCTTTCTTAGCTTCATAAAATAAGATCAAGTGACAATGTTTGGCAAATTGTGTCAATGCAATAAAATAAAATATATAAAATGATTGCTTGGCAGATCTTTCCTCAAATGTTTATTACTTTAAGAGATTACATAAATATCAGCCTTTTAACAGCTGTACTAGAAACTAAAATAATCCAATTCTGATAAGTCAAGCAGCATTATTTCCATTTCCCCTCAATCTTGTGTAATTCACATGACAGCAATTTCCTCCCTGTCCACATCCCAGAGACAATTACCTAGTCCTAGAAGTATGCTATTATCTTTTTTCCTGCTGTAGCCATAAGAGATACTGAAGAGATAATTCTGCATGGCATTCTATTGCAGTACTGAGGTCATGCATTCCTATAGTTCTCAACCAGCATTTGAAGAAGATCAGGCTGGGAAAATCTATTCTATCATACGTTTCCAAAAAAAAGGAATAGTTACAGATCCTATACGTATGTTAAGGTACATTATATAAATAATTCAGTTTTTTAAAAAACATTTCATGCCAACCCATTTTATGTTGCCACCCTGAGTGGGACTTATATCTTCATCTACTTCAACACATGGAAATCATAGCTGAGGTGTCTTTATACATCTTTGGCAGGTATACTAATTTCATTCTTTTTTAACCAGATGGATGTGACTCATGTCCTCATTAGCTCCACACTAGATTATTACAATGTACCAGAGTTGGGGTTGCTCCTGAATACTACTGCAGATGAAGACTGCAAGCTGATGGGTACTGCCTCATTTGGCAATCGAACACCTATTTTGCAGTGTTGCATTAGTTCCCAACAGACTTCTAGGTTTTATTTATTTACTTTATTTGTATGCTGGTCATTCCTAAGAACTTCACATATTATCAAGATCAATGCAAAATAAAAAAAACAACTCTCTGAAAAATAAATAAATCTACTCAAAATGTAAAAGAATTTGACATGAAAACAATAAACAGAAAATATACAAAATCATTGACTCATTTGGCTGACAAACTCAAAGCCACTCTCTCTTGGATAGATTATAAAATTGTGAAGGATAAGGATGAAGGTCCGTTCTCCAAGCTTGAGGGTTGGTTTTCAAACATTTCATTACCAGACTAGGTAACATCTTCAGTGGTGTTTAGTGGAAGTCTGTGTCAGTGTTCTACTTATATAAAGGCTTCAGGTGTGGGAGTGTCTAGTGAGGGTCTTGTGATGGGCCAGGTGTGAATCATCAGAGAGATGAGGAGGTACTTCAGATAAGAGTCATTGGAGGGTGTGAATTTGTGGATCAGCAGTGAATCATCAGTGGGAGGCTGATAATGGGTCTTGTGATGGGGAGATTATGTCAGGCCAGGGTCATTGGAAGGTGAACTGCTGGGGGGGGGGAGAGGGGCTTGAGGGTTGGTGCTGTCTCCAGATGACTATTCGATTGAGTTGGATTCTGAGGGGTTCATATGCTGGTTGTAGATCAATGTGTCTGTTGATGGAATTGTTTGTGGAGTGCCAGGCTTTGATGAACTTCCAAGTTCCTCCAATTGAACTGGTGTCGTTTGGTGTCAGTGTGGGTAAAGATTAGGGGTTTGAGATCATGGCATTTGACTGCTAGCCTGTGTTCGTGGATCCTGGTTTTTAACCGATGTGATGTTTGTCCCATGTAGAAGTGATTACAATCATTATGGTTGATTTTGTAGATGATGTTGCTTCTTTCATCCTTCTGTGTCTTGTCTTTGGTTCTCTTGTAAATGATAAGTTAAGATTCTGTATTTTCTTCTGAAGAAAAATGTGCAAGTTTTCTTGCTTCAGGAATTGGCTCTGCTCATCTTGTAATTTATTAAGACACTGAGATCCCTATTGCATATATTACTATCTAGTATGGTCCAGCACATCCTATACGTATGCCCTTAATTTTATTACTCAAATGCAGAGAACATTTGAGGGGCAGGGCTGTATATCCAAATACCTGTTAAATGAAATTGCAATAATTTAGATAGTTATTTGGAGTACATAAATTGATGCACATGAAATAAGAATATAGTAATGCAACTACACTAATGATATAAGCTGACATAAATGACATAGAGTATTTAAATTGTCTGGGACATTTGTGAACAACAGAGTTTTGTTCTTTGTTTCAGCATGAAGCCCAAGAGTAACATTTTGTCCATTACATTCAAATCTGTTGAATGAAGGTCCAGAGAATCAAGATTTTACTGTAATCCAAACATCATCACAAGTAAATTGAGTAAGCAATAGTGTTTTCACATAGTCATAAAACAAGGTAAATGATGAAAGAAAAACCAAGTTGGTGACATGAATGTGGAGAAGGAAAAACTAAGAAGAGACTAGAGGAAAAGGGAAGAGGAGGAGGCTAGAACAAGAGATATCAGAAAGCAACGAAAATGTGAACATAATTTTACACAAAGAACTTCTTTAGCACCCGCTGTATGTGTGCTTCAGACTCACTTTATTTGTATTTTGTTATTTGTTGTTTTACTAGTTACTTGGAACACTCAATCCTTTTAAAGTATAAGCTACATAAATCTTATTTTCATTTGACTGTAGTGAAACCGCAGACCAGTCTTCAACACACCCATATTAGAGAGTAATATAGCACAGAAGCTCTACAAAACAAATTAAAATAAATATAGTTTCAGTACGGAAATACTTCACTGGCCTAAATAGATTGTCTTATAGAATTACCATTCCACTTCAAACCATTGTACAGACCTGCACACCCAAAGCAAACAGAGAAGATAAGGGATAAACAAATTGATCCATGCAGAAAGTATTTCGTCATGGAACAGTTGATTTAGTAGCCTTTAAATATACTTTTTTTAAAT